CCTCCCTGCGTCCCACTTCCCACAGCAGCCCCTGCCACAGAGCCTCGGCCACCTGCTCTCACAGCTCTTTGCTTCTCTTTCGTCCTTTCTTCCTTCTTTCCCATCTTTCCTTTGCTCCCTTCCTTCTCCTCCCTCTTTCCTCATTTCTGAATCCCTCCCCTCCTTCACTCCACCTTCCTTCCTCTCTGTGTCCTTCTTCATTTCATGTCCTGCTCCCTCCTCTACTTCTCCTTCTCTGCCTCCCTCCTATAGCTTTTCATTCAAGTTCGTTTCCACGAGCCCATTTCTAGTGCCCACCCTGTGTCAGGGCTTGGCTAGCTGGGGGTGAAGGTATGAGTGCAAGTTTATTTCACCAGCACTGACTGAGGTCCCCCACCTACCCACCTACCTGGGGAGAGGAGGACAGGGACAGGACACTGGCACAGGGACAGGGTAGCACAGTGGAGATCAGGAAAGAGGCCTTGGGGAGATGATGTCTGAACAAGGCTTTGAAGGTTGAAGAGGAGTTCACTAGGTAAACAAAAGGGGAGTGAGCCCCTCAGGAGAGGAGCAGAGGGTGCTGTGGTACAGGGAGTAACAAACCACGGTCACACAGGGGAACCTGGCCTGCACTCATGGCCTCTAAGGATGGGACACACAATGTAGTTACTTGAGGGCTCTAAAAGTGGTTGGGGGTGGAGAAAACGGAGACCAGGGTTAACTGAGAGGGAAGTGGTTATGGAAGACAGCCTGGAGGAGGGACTCATGAAGGGCCTTTAATGACTGTATTTCCTCAGAAAGGGAAAGGTACAGGGTGAAGGAAGGACACACTGGAACAGCAGCAGGTTCTCAGATGGCAAACTCCAGGCCAGCTCCCACAGCGGTCATTCTAGATGGTCTGGGTGGGGCCCAGGCATCTGTGTTTTTAAAGCTCCCTGGAACTGTAGTGTGCAAACTGGTGAGAATCACTCGTCAGCTCTAGAGGAAGGGGCAGCCTGGGCAGGGAGGCAGCAGGAAGAGGGGTTTAGGAGAAGGGCCAGGGGAGCTGCACACAGGAAGATGGGGGAGCAGGCTGCCTTAGAAGCTGGGTCTCTATCCTTTCTCAGAATAAAGCTTGGAAACCTGCTGAGCAGAACGCAGGGACAAGGACACAGCACTGATCCAGAGGGGTGACAGGAGACAGGCCTCAGGCTGAGAAGACAGGTGAAATGTCATTCTCTCCCAGTGTGGCTCTCAGAGCACCCTACAAACCATGGAGATCAGGAGGAGGGTGACAAGAGTATGTCTAGCACAGTGCACACCATGCGTCACCTAAGTCCTCAGGAGCTGTATAATATACTTATCACTATCCCTTATCAGTTTAGGGTGCTCTGGATGTGAGAAACAGACCCCCAAAGACTAACAGACTTTGGCTCCTGTAACAAGGAGTCCCCATTTCATGCAACAGTTCAGTGTTGTCACTGAAATTCTTTCATCAGCCCCAGAACACAGAATTTTATTATCTCATCATCTCACAATTGAAGGATGCTCACTTCCAGCTACAACTATGACATCTTTGCACTCATAAATTCAAGGCAAGAAATAAAGGGAAAGAAACTGTTTTGCATAAACATCCAACCTAACTTCCTATTGGTCAGGATTTAGTCACATACTGCCTCCTAAGCCAATGACTGGCTTAGATCAAGTGTGATGCATTTCCAGGGTAAACACCTCATCACCTGGGTGAACCAGGGCTCTGTTCCGTGCAAATGACAACTAGTCAGTGGGCTAAAGTGTCTATCAATCACATTTACAAGTGATGAAATAGAGGCTAAGTGAAATGCCCAAGGTCACTCACACTGTGGGAAGCAGAAGTGGGGTTCAAATCCAAGTCAAGATATTCCATACCAAGGGGTCTTTCCACAGTGCCGTGAAAACAGGTGAGGATGTGCACCCTGACCTATTTTTATGGGCATCCCTGAATTTTCCATTGGCCAGTTACACACTTTCTGCTCTGCCTGGGCTCACCTGGCTACCCCAAGTGTAGATGAGACACCATGCTCAGTGACCAGAGGGCTCGATCACAGTGGCAGTCAATGGGACCAGGGCTTCCAAATTGCTGTTGGGGTATGCTCAGACACAGCTCTGGGTCTTCAGTGTGTGGCCATTAACAGACAGGTGTCTGTTAAAGGGAATGGCAGCTAGTAAATGTAAGAGAACGAACCAGAACCATTTATAGGCTTAGTCTTATCAATCATTATAAACTTAATGATATCAATGTTGAACGCTTTTTCCAGGTGTGGGCTGGTGGTAGCTATGTTTCTAACCTTAGGTTAACAAAGATTGACATAGGAAGGTCAGAGTCACAGGGTAAGATGGCATAGAACTCCAGTTACCAGATAGCCTCCTCCTAGTTCTGTTTCTGGGGCTTGCAGTCAAGCTGGCCACCAAGACTCTCTGGGCTGCTCCAATGCATCTTCCTTGTTTTACTCACAAACACATTGGAGAAAAAGATGTAATTCTTACCCATTGTTGTTTTCTTTTTAATGGCTAAGATCTGGTGCCGAATAGGTATATGAATGAAGGGACACATGGGTGGAGGGATGGATGGATGGGTGGATGGATGGATGGGTAGATGGGTGGGTGGGTGGATGGATGGGTGGATGGATGGATGGATAGATGTGTGGGTTGATGGATGGATGGGGGGATGGATGGGTGGGTAGGTGGGTGGGTGGAGGGATGGGTGGGTGGATGGATGGGTGGGTGGATGTGTGGGTTGATGGATGTGTGGGGGGATGGATGGGTGGGTGGATGGATGGGTGGATGGATGTGTGGGTTGATGGATGGATGTGTGGGTTGATGGATGGATGGGGGATGGATGGGTGGGTGGGTGGGTGGGTGGAGGGATGGGTGGATGGATGGATGGATAGATGTGTGGGTTGATGGATGGATGGGGGGATGGATGGGTGGGTGGATGGGTGGATGGATGGATGGATGGGGGGATGGGGGGATGGGGGGATGGATGGGTGGGTGGGTGGGTGGGTGGATGGATGGGTGGGTGGATGGATGGATGGGTGGGTGGGTGGATGGATGGGTGGGTGGGTGGATGGATGGGGGGATGGGTGGATGGATGGGTGGGTGGATGGGTGGATGGATGGATGGGGGGATGGGGGATGGGGGGATGGATGGGTGGGTGGGTGGGTGGGTGGTGGATGTCTGTCCCCTGGGGAGGGAGTAACATTACAACTCTCCATTCTTATCTGTGACAGGGGAGGAGCTCAGCACAGACCTGTTGAATGAAGACATGAGCTCGTGAAATGTTTCAAGCCTGGGCTTGCATTCGCGGTTTGTACTTGGCTCTGCTCAGACCTTTCTTCCCCTGAATGTCAGATTTCGATGCACATGTACCCTTTCCAGGGATGCCATACCTGATCATCATACCCAAGATTTGCCACCACACCTTCAGCACCTCTGGATCCTTCCTCACAGGTCCTTGTTCCTATCTGCTCCATGTACTGTTCTTAACATGTGATTATTTTATTTGTTTATGGTCTCCCCCAAGCCCTAGGAAACAGGGACTCTTCTGTCTTATTCTCTGCAATATCCCCATTAGAACATCTGCTCGTAGAAGCTCAATCAATATTTTGAATGAACAGATAAGTGAATAGGACTTCCAATCCTTTCTCAGGCTGCCACGGCCATTCTCCAAAGCTGGAGGCTGTCTCTCATCCACCCACGTCCTCCAGCGGCCTCTCACAATACGGACCATCTTAAAAGTCTTCCCAGCCTTGATTCAGTTACGCCACACCACCTTGCCCCCCCACTGACTCCCATTCTCCTCCTGCCCCACAGACCTGCTGCCTCCCCTGGAATGCTAGCTGTGTTTAATTATGGCACAACCACACAATGGAGCACTACACAGCCATTCAAAATGATGGTGAAGAAGAATGTAAATTGACACGGAAAGTCACTCCCAATATATTGACATTACATCACAACATTTTAATAGGTACAGTCAGCCCTCCGTATCCATCTGTGGACTCAACCAACCTCAGATTGAAAATATCCAGGTAAACACTACACATGTACTGAATATGTGCAGGGTTTTTCTCATCATTGTTTCCTAAATAATACGGAGCACCCACTATTTACGTGACATTTACACTTTACTGTGGGCTATAAGCCATCAGAGGAGATTCAAAGTGTAGCGGGGGTTGTTTAAAGTGTATGTGCAAATGCTAAGCCATTTCACATCCTCAGATTTGTGGATTAGGGTATCTGTGGAGGGTTCTAGAACCAGTGCCAGGAAGATGCTGGGAAAGGGCTGTAGCTGGGTTCCAGTTCTGTAAATCTCAGTGTGAAAGCAGGTGTGCAGACACCACAGGAAGTGCTCAGGAGATTACACAAGGACACAGTAACAAAATGTCCGTGCATTTTCTCTCTTTGTTTCCTTTTGACACTTTTGCTACTTCTACATCCCTTGCAGAGTTTCTGGAGACTTCGGGTTGAACCAGATGAAACTGCTGCTACGACAGATGGAAAAGTCGGGTATCTTCCACTCCTGTGATCGGCTGAAACGAGCCTCGGGGAGTCGTACCATTGAGCCAGGATGGAAGGGTGAGGCATGAGAGAGCCCAGATCTAGCGCTGAGGGAGCCGATGCCACACGGCGGGGAAAGAAAGACGGGGCGGGTGTTCTAAACCCCACTGCGCCCCATCAGGACACTGTGTCCTGGTCACTGCTGATGGGATTGCTGGTCCCGCAAGCACTGGAGGGGTGGCCGGCTGTGCCTGTGATGTCACGTCCCGGCCTCGGCTCCATCCATCAGTGGTCCGATGTGAGAATCATGGAACCAGGTATGGCCTGAAGAAGTCAGCAGCCTGAGAGCTGCGCCAAGACTTCCAAAAAAGAAGGGGAGCGGGGAGGAGACGCGGGGAGCAGAAAGGTCACTTGTATGTCCCAAGCCCAAGGTCGGTGCAGAGGAATGGTGAGTATAGACAGTCACTCGCCATAGAAGAACAGCGAATGTAGACCGTCGCCCTCATGGAAGAAGGACGCCCCATTCAGCCTCGGGAAGACACAGGCGGGTTAGGCATGGACGCATCTGGGGAAAGGACAACAGAGAAGCCGATGTACACAACAGTCTCAGCACAGGCGCACACGGAGCCCGTGCACGTCTACACCTGCAGATAGTGCTACACCTACACTGACCACGGTGTCCTGTGCGTGCGCACCGTGACCAGGTTTCACTCATAGCAGGCACTGTGAAAGAGGAACAATAATAAGTGATAAAATAGAACGACGATAAAAGACATTTAAAGCTTATGAGTCGTTTATTACTAGACTGTTACAAGAAGGGAGAGAAAGGCTGCAAGGAAAATGACAAGAGCCAGAATTGGGGGGAGAGGGAAGTAAATTCAACCAAAAATGACAAAAAGCTAAAATTTTTGTCAAGGACAAATTAGTTAAGCAACATATAAAGTCAAAAAATAATAGGCAGAAGTTAAAAAGAATAAAAAATCTATTTAAGTTTTTTTTTAAGCAAAGAAGGAATTCAATTTCATTAGAAATCAGAGAAATGCAAATTAAAACAAGTTGTCACCCCTCTGATGCTAAAGCAACAATTTTTTTGGTGGTGTGGGATTTGAACTCAGGGCCTTGCACTTGCCAGAAAGGTACTCTACCACTTGAGACACAACCCCAGCCCTTTTTGCTATGGATATTTTTTAAATCATGTCTCACTCTCATGCCCTAGCCAGCCTAGCTGGCAATCCTCCTATTTATGTTTCTCAAGTCAGTGGGATGACAGCACACATCACTGCTCCCAGCTTATTTAGTTGAGATGGGGTCTCACCAACTATTTGCCTGATCCTCCCAGTCTCTGCATCCTGACTAGGATTACAGGCATGAGGCATTGCGCCCAGCTTCCAAGTGAGGATTTGAAGCTTTGAAAATCTGTAACAGCCATGCACATGAGGACAGAGTTCAGGGCATGCTCAGTGCTTGTTTGTACATACACGTGTGTGTCTATATACTTGCAGGAAATTCACAGGTACCGCAGCAGTTTCTAAGAGCCTCGACACCTTTCACTCACTAGCTTAATTTCTTTGCATCTATCTTAGGAAAGCAGTCTTTTTTGGTTTGGTTTGGGCAGTACTGGGGTTTGAACTCAGGTCTTCATACTGTCCCACTTGAGCCACTCTGCCAGCCCCTGTTCTTGTTGGGTATTTTTGAGATGGGGGGGTCTCACTTTTTGCCTGGCCTGGCTTCAAACTGTGATCCTCCTGATCTCTGCCTCCTGGGTAGCTAGGCTTACAGGTGTGAGCCACCAGCACCCAGCAGCAGTCTTTTTTTAATAAATAAATGAATAAACTGCATTTATAACAGTTTAAGATTTAAAACAATTAAACCTTCAGAAGCACCAGGATGACTGAGCAGACGCTGTGGCACTCATTGAAATTACACAGGTTTACATCGGTGTGAATGAAGTATTCACACGAAATGCTTCCCACACCACTCAGTGAAGGCAAGTCAGGCACAACCTCGTAAACAGTGAGCAGAACACAAAGACAAGGAAGAACTCACCGGTGAGGTGAGGCTTTTCTCACTCATTAGTCAACCTCCCTTAATACTTTATGGTGAAAAGAAGTAGGTGGACTGAATTTTCATTCCGGACCCAAACTATGGGTGCGATACCCTGCAAGTCACAGATAATCAGGCGCAGAGAAGCCGCGCGCTGCCTCCCTCGTCCACTGAGCACACGAGACGTGGGACGACACACTCAGCAGGTCCACGCGGTGCACAGCCAGAGGCCCGGACGGAAGGAAAAGAAGGCATAGCTGTGCCATTGAACTGACAGAGAAACACAAACACAGCTCACCTGCTCTTAAAAAACCCCAGAAATGGGAAGAGCTGGGTGAAGCAGAAGAGGAAAGGCAGGAAAGAGGAAAGAGGCTGAAATGCCCTCGTCACAAAAGAAATGTCAACATGTTCCCTACCACGGATCCATGGGTCAGCCACGGGTGATGGAGGCCACGGGCCTCAGGAGGAAGAGAAGCAGCTCGTGAAGTTTAAACGTCCACCCTTCCACCCGCTGGCTGGCGCACTCACCCCGTCCTGGAGGCCCAGCCTCCTCCTCTGGGCTGTGGCCGCGCTGAGCACCTGTCCACTCTCACTGTCAGTAAGCGCTTCCTCTCTACCCATGATCAAGGTGACTGGGGACTCTCCTAATTGCTAATACAGCAAGTGTCAAGGGCATTGGGATTTTGTGAATTCCCACTTGTACTTCCCCCACAAGATGATTTTGGATAAGAACCCTGGACACTAGGCCCCAAGTTCAAGTCAACAGCATTCTCCAATGCATGTAACACATTTTCTTCTAGCCATTAGTCATGCATTCAACAACCAGGATGCACCAGGCACCGGGCCCAGTGCTAGAGACCTTGCCAGACAGCAATGGGCCTTGTCCTGCTGGAGTTCAGGGCCTGGTGAGGGGGGAAGACCAAAAAAGGGGTCTTTGCAGCACAGACTAATGCGTGAACCCTAACAAATCCAGCTTCACTGCTCACCATCCTTGTGACTTTGGGCCAGTTTTCTCACCTGCAAAGAGTGGCATGTGACAACTCCTGGTCAGGCTAAAATGGACTAATATGTACCGAGCGTGTTTGGAATGGAGCCTGGCACCCATTGGTGCTCCTTCATTGGTGTTAATGTTCTCATTGACAGTAGCCTCGGCTTTTGGGTTGTCATGATGCAAAGCACTTGGGGACACAGAACAACAACGAGCCCTAGTCCAGCCTGGAGAGGGGGAGGGTGGGGAACACCTTCTGGAGGAAGTGACCTGAGGAATGACTAGGAGTCCTCTTGGGAAGCAGGATGTGGAAAATATTCTAGGAAGAGAGGAATGTGTGTTCAAGGGCCCGAAGCTGAAGGGAAGTGGATGGGTCCAGACTGGAACGCACAGCGGGAGGGAGGCGGGGAAAGAGAGACGGGTGCTGTCCAGGACAGTGAGCGCAGTCCCTGCAAGGCCTGGGAGCCATGTGGGGAGTTTGGATGTGACCCCAAGGTTCCCAGGACTTTAGGACGGGGAGTCAGGTGGGGAGGACAGAAGAAGAGCTGACAGGAAGCAGAGAGTCAGCAGCCATGATCCATGGGTGAGAAGATGGAGCCCCCACACCAAGGCCTGGGCAATGAGGTGGACACAAGCTGGCAGGTCCCCGAGGTGTGGAGGACACAGACAGGCAAATCCAGCTTCCAGTGGGAGGAGGAGGAAGCAGGGGAGGGAGGCTCCTGGCTTCAGGGACAAGAACTCTGGTTTTAAGATGTTTTTAACATCTCACGTTTCAAGTCTGCATCCATAACAAGATAACGAAGTCTGGGAGGGCCCAGGACTGTTTTCGCGCATCTGTGTGAGTCCTCGGGGCCTCGTTCACAATGGGCACTCCGTGAATGTCTCCTTGACTCTGGCTTCTCCCAGCCACCAGCCGCTGCACTGGCTGAGCCCCTGCCAAGCTCTGTACCACGGAAAACCAAACCACAGTGGGTTTCCAGAAATGTGGAAAACATTCCACAGGAATCCATCGTCCCCATGCTGTCCTGCCCAGGGAGAGGTGGTGGGGAGGGAGCCAGACTGGCGAAGATGGCTTGGGGCTGGAGGTCGTGTCCAGGATGCCACAGTGACCCACCCCACAACACACACACACACACACACACACACACACACACACACACACACACACGCACACATGCACACGCACACACAGAGACACGCACTACCTCCTCACCATTTCTCCAGCATCTGAGAGGAGGAGTCAGACACCAAGGCCAGGCGCTCATCCAATTGTCCCTGTGATTCTCATGGGCTCTGACACCCGGAATGATTGACAGATGAGAGATGAGCCCCAGGGAAGTGAATTTACCTGCCCAAGGTCTCAGAGCCAGTAGGGAGGGATGGGGAATTCAAACCTGGTCTGTGGGTTGAAATCATCTTGCTTTTAATCACCAGTCCAAAAGGCTCTACGGCCTGGAGCCGGTGGCCGTGAGGTCAACTCAACACGCACATATGTTTGGTTTGGACCCAACACTGTTTTAAAAAGTGGGAAACTTCACATAAAAACCCAGGCTTCCGGCTTCTCTTTAGAAACCAGATCTGGCCCCTGTTTCCGCAGGGCCACTGTTGGCTGGGCCAAGGAGCAGCTGCCCCTCCATGAGGCTGTGCCCCTCCCCGCCCCAGCCCATGGATGTCCCCTGCCTGGCTCCTGAAGGCGTCAGAGCATGGGCTGTGCCAGGCCTTGGGAGCCCCCTCGGCAGAGAGCCCCATGTCCTAGTCCTAACGTGAGGATTCTCCGTCTCCTTTCTCAGGCTCCTCTACACCCTCCCTGCCCCCTTCCTTGTGGTAAGTTCATGACCTCTAAGTTAGACCTGGGGCCGGTGGCCTCCTCTTCCATGCCTCAGCTTCCCCAGCCCTAAAATGGGGGTTCGAAGAGAACCTCCCCTTCAAGGTTCAAGCCGGGCTTGCTAGACAAGGTGCCACTCTGGGCTCCACAGCCCTGGGGCTGACCCTTTCACAAATCCTGGTGGATTTGAACTCCTACTTCCTTCCGCATTTGTTGCCTTTTTTGTTGTTTTGGGGACTGGGCTTTGAACTCAGGGCTTCACACTTGCAAAGCAAGAGCTGTACTGCTTGGGCCACACCTCCAGTCTATTTTGCTCTGCTCTGGTTATTTTGGTCTCAGAACTATTTGCTGAGGCAGGCCTCAAACCGCAATCCTCCTGATCTCAGCTAGGAGTACAGGCGTGAGGAACTGCTGCCTGGCCTGGCTATCTGTTGTGCACGTGAAGGCAGTGATGGTGTGGGCCACACCCAGGGCTCGCTGTGGATGAAAAGCACCCTCAGTGATGGAGGGTCTGTCCTCGTCCTTTCCTCTCCTCTGTCCATGCTCACTTACCGTGAGATGCCATCCAATCCCAACGTTTCAAACCCCATTCATGCACCAATGACTCCCAGGTGCACACGCCCACCTGAACCTGCCCCCATCTGAGACCACACTTAACTGTGCACACGCATCACACTGGATATCCCGTGGGCACTCAGACACCACCTGT